GTCATTCCACGTGATCAGGACCTTCCTGCTTACTCAACCCCCCACAGTTAGCATTCCCCTCCCGCTCCCCGGCACCTGACCCTGGGTCCTTGCGTTTGACACCATTGCCGTGTTTCTCTCACTCCCTCACAGACCTCTTCAGAGCTTCCGACCTCTTCAGCAGCAGCGACTTCGCCGACTTCAGTCACATGACGAAGGTGGGGGGAGCACTGATCATGTGACTGTCACAGAAGGCGCCTCCTTGGATCCTGCCCCCTTAAGGCTGTAGGTGTTTAGGCTCCCAGGTCTCATGCTGCCTTGTTACTCCGCAGGGCCTGGTGGACGACCCCTTGGCCCGGAGGCAGCACAGCCCGGCGAGGTCCCCGGCAAGGATGGGACCCCCCCGGCCCGCCCCCCCCAGCGGTGAGCGGCCCGACATCACCGAGCATCCAACGGGGGGCAGTCAGATGTTCAGCCCCCCCCCCAGTTAACATATGCAACCGTTCCCACGGGTTCGCTAGATACTATAAACAGGAAGGGCGTGTGGGCCGAGATAAGCCATGATCTCTGCGCCGTGTGTGTGTGGCTGTGTGTGTCCGTGCAGTCAGAGATAGGCCAGCACCCCCCCACACACTCTATGGCACCGCTCTGCTCGTGGGTGACAGGGCCAAAAGCAGAAGTGTTATCAACTCAACCGGCTTCCCGTCCAAACCGCGTGTTCAGAGGCCGTGCTTGTCAGTGTCACTGCCCAAGTGCAAGCAGGAGCGACTATCTGCTGTGAGTGTGTGTGTGTGTGTGTGTGTGTGTGATGATGATTGTGTCTGACATGATTCTGAGTCAATTATTAGCAGAGTTGTGTGGCCTCCTGGGAGGGTTGTGAGGTGTCTCCCCCCACCCCCAGCTCTCCTGAAGCAGGTCTGCCCTCTGTGTGCTCATGCTGCATTCATGCCATCCGTCATGCAAGTTGCCTTGGCGGCTCCAGCTGCTTGCGCCTACCACCGGGGGGGGTGCCGCTTGTGGCCGCTGGCACTGTGACTGCGCTGCGGTTAGCGCCCTGAGAGGCCACCGCCCTTTCTCAGGCAGTGCTGGGAGCCCGCTCACCCCTGCGTGACCCTGGCCCTGATTCACCACAGCTCTAGCATGACCCCCCCCCCTGCCACAGGGGAGACTTTGCTCTCTGCCCCACAAAGTTATTTGCAAAGACCAAGAATAAAATGTGTAGAGATGTGCTTGTGTCCCTGATGTTAAAAAAGGAGTCCTGGGGGCGAGGGGGTGGGGGGGGGGGGGGGGGGGGGGGGGTGTTTACTCTGCTCACTGAATCTCTGTATCGCATCTCTGTGGTTCACCGCTATGCTGCATCCTCATTCTAATCAGTCTATATTAGTCCCATTTGTTAAACTGGCCCTTCGTTAGGTCAGGGTTGTGTGTGTGTGTCTGAGCAGGTATACCTTACCTTATGGGGACACAATGTCCCCACAATGTGATAAATACCCATTTTTTTCCCTTATGGGGACCAGTTTTAATAAAAATCTGTGACTGCAATGAAAAAACTTAAAATGTAAAAAAAAAAACTTGTATTTTTCTTGGTTACTTTTGGTTATGGTTAGGGTTGGATAGGGGTTAAGGTTGTCATAGTTAGCGTTAGCATTTTTCCCATAGAAATTAATGAGCGGTCCCCATAAAGACATGTTTACCCATGTGTGTGTGTGTGTGTGTGTGTGTGTGTGTGTCAGTGTGTAACACTCTGTCTGTCTCTGTCTTCCTCTGCAGCAGCCTGGAAGTGAGGTCAGGCTGGAGCAGTCAGGCTCTGGAGGTCCTGCTTGCAAACCCCCACCCCACCATGACAGTCTGATGCACACACTCACACACACACTGCAAACTGGGAGAAGACGGAGAGACAGCGAGGATGCTGCTGGGAGGACAGGAGCCGCAACCCACATAGGTTGCTAACTGCACAGCTACCGTGCTGGGCTTGTATGGACACCAGGGCGGCGCTCTCTCTCTCTCACACCTCCTCTCTGTTCGCACATGGAATGGACTGGGGGGCTCTCAAGGTCCCTGCTCTGTCTCTAATCTCATGTGCTGACCTTCTGGTGGTGCTGCGGTAGGTGTCAGAGGTGCCCTTGACTGCTCTGACTGCAATGGGGAGAGTTCTGCCCTCCTGCCCCCCTCAGCCTCGGATGGATAAAAAAAAGGAGTTTCATCAACTGTCCTGCTGTGGTTTCGCACTTTTACATTCAGGCATTTTAGACTTGATTTGACCCTCTGTCACACGCCCCCCCCCCAACTGCAAACCCCTGTTTTTCTTGATATTTTTAAACCCCTCCCCGGTTCAGGTAATGTACCCTACTCAAAGGTACAACAGCTGTTCACTGCTCGGGATTCAAACTTGCGGCTCTCTGTCTCTAAGATACCCTGCATGTTATTCTCCACCAGCCGTAATGCTAGATGACCTAAAGCGATCTTCCTTTCTGTGAGTGATTGGGAGGGGGGGGGTCCTCTTACTGGGGGGGGGGCTTGGATCCCGTCACATGGGTTTGGTAGCAATATGCAAACACTGTAGTGTTTCTGTTTACACGACTCATCATACGGATGTAGTTTCATGTTTATGCAGAGCTGATGCACGGTATGTTAGTCCAAAAATTAAAGATGCGCATCATGATAGGGCACTGTAAGAAGAGGTACATTTTTTTTCCTGGGATTTAAGAGAATGATTTGTTTCTTAATATTAGTGATGTGAAATTGGAGGTAAGCTGTATGTGTTTGTGATGATTCAGGGGTGTGATTTGTGCGTGGGGCTGCTGTCAGACTGCAAATTCAATGTGTTTTTATGAAAGTGATGAGAGATGCTGCCTCAGATGTACACAGGGTCGTAACTGGATGTTTTCAGGCCTTTTCCTCTGTGAGGGCGTTTATCCCACTTAAACCACTGGATCATCTGGACACGTTGAAGTTAGCTGTGCGTCTGGGCAACAAGGACTAGGCCCCGTGATGTCCCATAATTCCTTGCTGCTGTAGGAACCCCGCCCACTTTGCATTCTTGAGATGCAGGTGGATCCTAGGTGTGATCTGATGGGTTTTTATTAATTACTCCAAATGAGCTGGACTCCTGAACTCCATGAAGGGAAACAGTTTTGTTTAGAAAAGGAAACTGGAATAAACATTTTTTTTCAGCAAATGCCTTATTACATCTTGAATATTTGTACATCTTGGTGTGTCTCTCTGAAACTGCGAGTTGTGATTCCAGTAGCGCTAAATGCTAGACTGACATACATACTGGGTACTTGCTGCAGTAGAGGAGTAATGTGGAGTACTCACTGTGGTAGAGGAGTTGTATGGTGTATTCACCATAGTAGAGGAATCATATGGGGTGCTCACTGCAGTAGAGGAGTAATATGGGGTACTCACTGTGGTAAAGGAATTATTTGCGGTACTCACTGTAATAGAGCAGGTATATGGGGTACTCACTGTGGTAGAGGAAGTACTCTAGTAGAGGAGGCACATAGGGTACTTGCTGAGGTAGAGGAGGTATATGGGATACTCACTGTAGTAGAGGAGGTATATGGGGTACTCACTGTAGTAAAGGAGGTATATGGGGTACTCGCTGTGGTAGAAGAGTTAAAAAATGTACTCACTGTAATAGAGGAGTCAAATGGAATATTGCAATTGAGGAATTACATGGGGTACTTGCTGGGGTAGAGCAGTTACATGGGGTATTCGCTGTGGTAGAGCAGCTATTCAGAGTACTTGCTATGGTAGCTAAATGAAATGACATACGCACTCCAGCAGAGGGAGCTCTGGCTCTTGTTTTCCTGCAGTGCTGGGAATGAGAATCCCAAAGCAGGGTGGCTACTTGGGAAATATAAGCTCAGCAAGGTCAGAGGGGTAGAGTCATCCTCTATGTCTGGCGGTTGAGCGGGACGCTATTCTGCTTACTGGTCATTTACCAGTCACTCTAGTTTCCCAGCCCCCAGGGAGGCCAGTGGGATGACCACGGCTCAGCGGTCTGGTCTGACTGAAGAAGACTTCCTTGAGGGGGGGTGAAATTGCAGTGTTCCTATGCATGTCCTCAAAGATCAATTACTGGCTGAAACTGAGGTGTTGAATGACAGTAAGCAGGTGAAGATGAAAGGGATCCTTTACCCTGGAGCTAGGATTCCATTCATTCATTCATTATCACTTGAAGTACTGGCCTGGTGTAGAGCATTAGTGTACAGTACCTGACCGGTATCATCTCATGTAACTCCAAGCTGACTGCAGTCCATAACCCCCCGCCCCCTCAATTTATGAGGGACATTGTAATGTGCGTTTGTCCCCCAGAACACATTATATTAATATTTATATATCTCAAGTTGTGGATTGCTGACTATTGACGCAGATTCCCCACGCTAAACCCACCGCTGTGATTTTGGGGAAAGGGGAGAGTCAGTCTAAGAAATGCGGCGGACTCGTAGTGCGGCCAGGGAGGGGGGTGGGGGGTTCGACGGGCTCGCTCTGCGGGTACGTTTGAAGGGACAGCAAATTAAAGAGTGTAGCGATTCACCGCAAGCAGATCACCGATAAATAACTTCCACGAGAGAGTAGTGCAATTCTGCCAAATCCTCCACAATACCAAGAAACGTCAAGTCAGTATAGTAAAAGTGACAACAATTTTCCCCCGACCGGTCATTGCGCAAGATTGGCACCGATATATTATTTGCGTGTTTATACTTGTTTGTTTGTGTTTGGCGCTGTCTGCGGCTGCTGAGCTCCGGGAGCAGGGGCAAACTCCCGCAAAGCTGTACGAGGGCTCTGATCCATCCCGGTCCGGCCCCCCAACACCTGTTAGTCAAATTCACTGACTGTAGAAGCAAAGGCGAGGTGGAAAAAGTGAAATGAGAGGTTTGATGTTTTCCCACTTGACTGGATGGCCTATTAATAGCAGTTTGTGTACGTATTTCTTGTTTTCTGGCGGCGTGCTGCTCAGCGAGGCGGTGAATCCCCTCAGCCCAACTGAGGACACGTTTTATTCCCAAGGCGTCGGTGCTGGTGGACCGGGGTGCTTTCCTGGGAATCAGTACACCGATGAGCTACTTTTGAAGGGATTAGGGAGAGCCGTTAAACCTTAAAGCGTAAAAGTCTAAACTTAAAGCCATGTGCTGAGACAGTTTAATGGTATTTTAAGCGTTGCTAAACGTATCAGTGTACAGGTTTGTGTTGTAGCACTGAAGGTGTGCAGCCTTTCTACCTGTTTAGAAAGGTTCTAACTGAAGTTTGATTGTAGGGTCTTATTTCCGAACCCCTTTCCCGGCTTTAGTGTTAATATTAAGGACGATAGTTCCCATGAAGGAATACGCGGCGTAGGTACATTTTTAGAAGCCACGTTCTTTATTGTAACCCAGTAAAAGTCTCGATTCCTTTCATCCGTCCGTGCGCCATCCCCGAAGCCCGGCTCCTTCGCTGGAGATCGCCGTAACCCCGGGTCCAGACGGTTCTAAAAGCGGCCTCTGTAATTATGTAAATGTAATGTTTGTATTTATAGGCTGCGGTCGCGGGCTACTGGCAGCACCGCTCGCGCAGCTGGGATACATCGGAGCGTACATTATAATGAGGACCCGGGGTGGGGGTGGGGGTGAGGGAGGGAGCATCTTAAAGGCACTTTCATGGTCTGCATGGGGTTTCAAAGCAAAACGAGACCACGGCGCACTTCGCACGGACGATCCCGCGCACCTCTTCTGGGAAAGGTCTTTACTGTCAGATAGGGGGAAAAAAAACACACACTGCAAGTTCACCCTGTGTCAATTGTTTAATATTTACAATAAATACACTATACAGTATCCAAAGTATGTACACAACATTTCAGGAATTAAAAAAATATTTTACAAGTCGTATATTCCTGCTCCGATAGTGTAAATTGGGACTAAATACAGGCAGGTGTCAATACATCTTTACCAACGTTAAGCTCTGCATGGTGTCTTCGGCTTCCTGGATATACAAACGGGAAGCACGGAATAAAGCACATCGAGGCAAAAAGGCAGTTCCTGGAGTTTGTCGACATCTCGGTCCTCAGCCCTAACACACCATTAATCATATGAAAGGCACTACGGTGAAGTCTGCTTAAATAGTTACCACAGAGATTAGGACCAGCCTGTTAGTTTGATGTTTGCCCCAGAACAAACACTATATAATAAATTTACAGTATTTAAGATGTATTCTAAACGTAGTACCCGCTACAGTATTTTTTAAAAATACAAATGTTTATTTACTTTAAAAAGCCATTAAATGGAAGCGATTGTCCTTCGATATCCAGTATCTTCCCGGCACTGACTGACTTGCGCAGAGTCTCCAGAGCAGCGGCACCTCACATGTGCCGCTTCATATGAAGGGCCAGGTGGTCGGATCGGGAGAAAGCCCGCTCGCACAGGTGGCACTGGAAGGGCCGGTGGCCCGTGTGCTTGCGGAAGTGGCGGGTCAGCTCGTCCGATCGGGCAAACTTCCAGCCGCATCCCTCCCAGCTGCAGTGGTATGGTTTCTCACCTGAAATCAGAGAGCCCTCATTTAGGTTTATGTCCTACAGATCACGACGGACCAGGGCATTAATTAAATGAATTATATACATCGCCCATTTGAACATTATTTCAAATACAGCAGGGGTTATTTACCTGTGTGGGTCCGGTGGTGTGCCTTCAAGTGTGAACTCTTCGTGTAGGTTTTCCCGCAGCCGGCGAACGTGCAGGTGTGAGCCGCGGTCCGCTTCCTTGGCCACGATCGGCGCCCCCTCTTCGGCTTCGGGTCCATCAGCTCCAGCGGGGACGACGGCGGAGTGAGCAGCATTCTGGGAGCCGCGGACTGCACGCAGAGGCCGTCGTCGTACAAGCCGAACTGGTGCGCACTCTGGAAGGCGAGCGGCATCGGATGCGGAGGCTGCGGGTGCGCGTGGGGGAATCCCGCGGTTGCGTGGTAGCTCTGAGGGAACCCCATGGTGCTCCGCATCTGGTTCTGACACCTAGAGCTCATGTGGTCGTCCGGGCTGAGCGGAGGGGTTATACTACCGGCCGTCTGTGGCGAGTTGGCCAGCCTGGGCTGCTCCACCGACATGCTGCAAGCATTGCTGCCCTCCTGTTTGATCTTGGAGCAGGTCTGAGGCACCATGCCCATCACTGGTCCGTAGTCCTCCATCGGAGGCTCCACTTTCAGTCCGTCAAAGTCCTGCCTCGGGAAGGCGTGGTGGTTGATGTAAAACCTGCCCTGGACGACAGGGCCGTTTGACACGCAGTAACCGCTGCCAGCATCGGATCTCATAAGTTCCTCCATGAGGGTGGAAGAGTAGGGCGGAGGGGGCCCGCTGGGTTCGGGCACGGTGTACTGACCCTGCACCATACCGGGCTGGTACAGGCTGCCAGCCTCCGAGAGCACCGGGTATTCAGCGCCGGCCGCAAGTGCCGACATGTTGTCCGGGGCCGCCGTGTTGGTGAGGATAAAGTCCAAATCCAGGTAATTGCTCAGGTCCTCTTCGTCTTTTCTGATAAAGAAGTTATCCGCGGTTTGTGACCCGTCCAGCGCTGGGATGCCGGATTTACTCATGTCGCACTTCCACCTCTGCAAGAAGAGACACATTGGCCTTTGCGCTACATACACACCAATATAAATGGCACTTGGTGCAAACAATAGTAAATGCACAACCTAATTACTTAAGTGATGTAAAGTAGAAAGACCCTCCTTTCATAGGCTGCAGCCCCACATCTGCAGCACCGGTTTGGGTTAGATCGATACTTACGTCTTCCCAAGCTTTATCCTTCTGGTACGCAAATGTTGAAATCGATGGCAACATTGCCCCGCTTAAAGCCATATCCAGACTTTCTCCAAGACAAAAACCGGTGTTTCTTACAGGAAAAAAAATAAACCATAAAATGATCCTTTTGCAAGCTGTAGCCTATAAACACGCACTGGCTCGTGCGCTCCTTATCCACCTTGCCCGTCTCCAGAAGCAGTAGTAATCTGCACACTTAAATCCTCGCCTCTTATGAAATAGTTTTTCTAACTCCTAGTGGGGCTCCTACCTTATAAATATTGCTGCTCAAACGCTGGACCAATTGAGCAGTGCGGAGGAAGCGCGTTCAGGATGAGCGTAGCGAGGTCTGTCCCTAAATTTAGCTGAGGTATAAAAGGGCAAATCGCAAGTAGCGCACCGAAAATCGGCTGAGAAGCGTCTCGATCGGTCGCTTCAGCTCAAAGTTGAAACCGCCGCCTACCCCTCGGGCTACAGTACGAGTCTCCCTTCAAGCCGAAACTAGCGTGCCTTTTAAACCGGGAGCGCAGTTTGACGATGCTTTGAAGCGACACATGCGCAGATACAGACGCGGGATGGGGGGGGGGCACAGTCCGGGTTGGAGCGACTCCGGCTGAACTAGTGTAACAGCGGATGACGCTTAAGCTCAGCCCCACTCGTCAGGAGAAGAGAAAAATTACGATCAATAGTCAAATGAACTCGAAACAAAGTTCAAAAATAAATCTTCAGAAAGCATTGCTGTTAAGTGAATCGTGTACTTAAAACGGTTAAGCTATCGAAAGGTTGCAAGGCGTGGAAACGGATTAAATAACTTGCGTGTAAAGCGAGTGTTTTTCTGACAGTTGCAAGAATTCGTTAGGTTTCGTCCTGACGTCGAGGGAGGGGGGGGG